TCACAGGAGTGTTTCCCATCTACCCCTGGGGAAGGCCTCCTCCTCACCCTCAGCCACGTGCTTTTGCACAGCTGACCCACCCAATCCTGGCTTTAGAAATGGACATGTTCTGGACAACCAGCAGGACCAAGAGGCCTACTGAGAGTATAGAGGGTGGACAGCCCTTCCCCCACCTGCACAGAGAGGACTGTTCCTGAGTCACATAATGGGGTCACAGCCCAGCTCTCAGCACAGCCCAGGGAAAGGGTCCAGGTGAGGGTCTTGAGGCCCAGATTAACCAGCAGCGTGAGGCTGTTACAAGACACTTTACATATTTCAATTCAATTAGGGAGAAATCCACGCAACGATGAGCAGCTCCAAGATATGAAAACAAAATATTCAAAAGCATAATGGACGCGGTGATTGTTTCCTTTATTCCAGTCAAAAACAATGCAACATCTCACTCAGGCAGTCTTGCTGTCTCACAAGCTGATTATCACGAGTCAAAACTCCAAGAAAAGAACATAATTCAGATGCAAACCTGATTTGGGAAAACAAAGCCTGCCCCACCCTCCTCAAGTTAGGAGAATAATGCCACAGAGACTGAGTTCTTCCAGGGTGTGCTTTGTGGAAGCACCCATGTGTTCACTGTCAGGCCGAGCTATTTCTGCACATCAATTTCCCCTCCAAAGGTCAAGGAATCAGCAGTTAGGAAAATCAATAAGTCTTTAGACATGGGGTCGGACATGCAGTTCAAAAGCCGGGGCAGTCAGTCATTTGCGGTACCCTTGGGACTTCTGCTTTCATTTTTCAGTTGAGGTCTAAGCTATATCCAGTACAGTGCCCAGTGTTGTATCTTCAGTGTGCAGCTCAATGAGACTTTACATAACTCTCTCTCACACGTGTGCATGTATACCACCCAGATCAAGATAGAGAACATCAAGCACCCGAAGGCTCCCTTGGGCCCCTCCGGAAGGGCCTGCCTCCAAGGGTAACTGGTGTTCTGAATTCTGTAACGTTAAATTTTTTGTTTTTTTATTTTTTTGAACTTTATATAAACAGAATCACACTGTGTGTATCTTTTTGTCCAGACTTCGTTGCTCAACATTATGTCTGTGAGATTCCTCCTGTCCTGAGGGTCTCTGTAGTTAGTTTCTCATTGTGGCAGGGTGTTCTATTTTGAGAACCCTCCACAGCTGTTAATCCATTGTACTGTTGATGGGCATTTAAGTTGTTTCCAGTCTGAGGCTATAATGAGTAAGACAGCTACAGTTATTTCCACAGGTGCCTCCTGGTCAACATCAGCATTCTTTTCTGTTTAAATGATTAGGAGTAGAACTGCTGGGCCATAGGATAAATGTAGACAAGGCATTAGCAGATGCTGCCCAGCAGTTCTCTGTGGTAGTTAAGCCCATTTGCCCCCTACTAGCAGCAGAGGGTTCCAGTTGCTCCACATCCTCATCAACACTTGGTGTTGTTGGTCTCTCTGACTGGATTCAATTCTGGCCTGGGCCTTGGAATGTAGGCCTCAGACACCACCCTGAAATAAGAGTTGGCCTCACCAGGTCCACAGGAAGCAGACTTTTCTCTAGCAGTTGGCAGAGAGGGTGTGTGAAATGGAGATGGTGTGGGTCTTGGGCCTGGCCTGCAAGAAGCAGTCAGCATGTGTATGGGAATCAAAATAAAAAAAGAGAAAACATGCCTATCAGCTTTCTAATTTGTATTTATTCATTCAACTAGTATTTACTGAGTATCTCCAAGCACCAGGGATAGAGTTGTGAAGAAAACAAAAATCCCTCCTCTCATAGAGCTCATGTTCAAGTGAAGCGGGACGGCCATAAATGCGATTGAAAAGTATATTATGTTTTCTCATATCTCTGGTTTCATTTCCAGCACTAGGAAGATTCCCAACCAGAAGGGGCCACACAAATTCACGTGTGTGCCTTGTTAGTTCAGCTTTGCTGATGTGCTTTTTTGTTGCTTATTTTCTGAAAAGATTATGTCAATATTTTTCTCTTTGATATAGATCCTCTCCATCAGGAAAAAAAAATCCCTAAACGAATAATGGTTTATTTTAGAAGGTTTTGAGCGCTGTAGATCTTAACAACACAAGGTAGGGGATAGTGAGGGCTGGGTGGCTATAATTTCAGATCAAGTGGTCAGCAAGTCTTCAGTGAAAAGGTGAAGTTGAGCCAAGATTTGAAGGAAACAAGACAGGTAATTGGGAGAACATTCAGGGCAGAAGCAGCAACAAGTGCAGATGCCTGGAGCTGGGAATGTCCCTGGCATGGTCAAGGGCTTGGAGGAGGCCAGTGTGCCTGGAGCCAAGCAAGTGAGGAGAGCGGCAGGAGAGGAAGACATAAGGGGAGAGGAGAAGGAAGCGGCCCTGGAGGCACTGTAAGGACTGGCTTTTCCTTAGAGTGACACAGCAGGTGTCATGGGAAGGTTTCAGCGGAGAAGGGGCACGGTCTGACTGGTTTCAGCAGGATCAAGAGCTGCCAAAGAGCCTGACAAGAGGACCCCCCAGGGCAACTAGGAAACCTCTGAGGAGGCAGGAAGTGATGATGGCTTGGGCCAGCGTCCAGGGGAAGTGCTGAAAAGAGATTAAATTACTGATATATTTAAAGATAGAACAAACACAATTTGCTAATAGATTGGATATGAGGGGGCACGGTGAGAAAAAGATGTCAGACATTTCATGTAAGTGGAATCATATAATATGTCATCTTTTATGACTGGCTTCTTAGCATATTTCAAAGTTCACCCATGTTGTAGCATGTATCAGTATATAATTCCTTTTTATTGCTGATAATATTCCAATGTGTATACCATGTTTTGTTTATCCACTCATCAACTGATGGACATTTGGGTTAACATTTTTTGGCTATTGTGAAAATGCTGCTAATGAACATTCGTGTAAAGTTTTTGTGTGGACATGTGTTTTCAATTCTCTTGGGTGTAAACCTAGGAGTAGAAAGGCTAGCTCTTATGATAACTCTATTTAATATTTTGAGGTATTATCAAACTGTTCCCCAAAGTGGCTGCCCCATTTTACATTCCCATAGCAATGGCAATGAGGGAGGAGGAGGGGAGGGGCTGCCCAGGGCAGTGGCTGGTCTAAGTCAAGGGCAAGGTCAGTTCATAGTAACAGGAGGAGGGATGTAGGTAATGAACATTTTTTCTGGTCACTTCCCTTTCCTCAGTGAAACAGGAACCAGGGTCACCACTGGAGAGAAGGCAGAGGAGGAAAGGCTGAGAGCTGAGGAAAGAGAGGTTAGTGGGAGCAGAAGTGGGCTGAGAAAATATAGGGTACTTGCCAGTGACATTGCAGGCCCCTCTGAGCTCAGTGATGTGAATTGAAAGTGAGGCCTCTTTGGGGTCAGGTGTTTTTCTTTAGCCACAGCCAACTAGGCTGGCGCAGGTGGGGAGGGGATGGGGATTCAGGACTCCTTGTGCCCAGAGCACAAAGGACCACACACCAGGCAGCTTAAACAGAAGACATTTCTTGCTTTCAGTTCTGGAGGCTGGAAACCTGAGATCAGGATGCCAGCAGGGTCAGGTTCTGGTGAGAGCTCCTGGTTTGTAGATGCCACTTTCTCACTGTGTCCTCACACGGCAGAGAGTGACCAAGTTCTCTGCTGTCTCTTCTCCTAAGGGTGCTAATCTCATCATGGGGATCCCCCCTCATGGCCTCATCTAACACTGATCACCTCCCAAAAGGCTCCATCTCCAAATACCATAACATTGCAGGTTGCAGCTGCAGCCTATGACTTTGGGAGGGGACACATTTCAGTCCACAGAACCATCCAGCCTACTCTTGATCTCTAACAAGCAACTCAGACAAGCCCAGATACTGAACTTTCAAAGAGAAGGGACAGAAAGAGGTTCCCAACCCTTATAGGGCAACTGAAATGGAAAAGAAAAATCTTTCATCTTTCCACTTTCTATTATGTATCTTATAGAGTTGTAATGCCTGATACAGTAGCCACTGACCACATGTAGCTTGACATGTGGCTAGTCAGATCTAACGTGTACTGTAAGTGTAAAATATGCACTGGTTTCAGAGACTTACTATAAAAATGGAAATTATCTCAATCTTTTGTATCAATTACATGTTGAAATGTTGGCTATGTTGGGTTAAATAAAGTATATCACTAAACTAATTTCATCTGTTCCATTTTACTTTTTAAAAATGTGGTTACTAAAAAATCTAAAATGATTTATGTGGCTCACACGTGTGGCTTGTGTTGTATTTCTATTGGATAGGCCCAGAGAGAAAACCCTACACCCAAAACAGCTCCCAGCATGGCTGGCCCTCCTGCCTTGGTCAGGGGCACATGTACATTAAATAGTTTTCATGGGGCACATGTGTCACCCATCTGGGACTGTGCTCGGGAATTTCATGTTGCAGTAGAACCATGCCTCTGAGGACGTAGGGCCCACACAGGGCTTGTGAGGATGCTACCTTGTGTCAAGGTGCCCTTGACAGTCCCTGGGAGACAGCCCCAGGGAGCTGGGGACCAGTTTACTTCTTGTTGGTTTCGGACAGGTAAATAATTCACATTTGTTAACACTAGAATCCCCTCAGGCACAAGATGCCTACACTTAGAAATTTTTGCCTGCCTGTCCAGCTTCCTGAGCCACACCCTCACCTCAGAGGAGGCCCTAAAGACCAGCAGCACCTGTTACAATTGTCTTTTTCTTATTTTCTCCCAAGCACATAGGATGAAACTGCTGTGAAGTAAATAATGGGTACAGAGCAATTCTACTGATTTCACACACGCATCCCCATTTACTACTTATTAAAATTGGCTATTAGTATCCCATTATACTGCCCACATATATAGTTCATGATTTCCCTCTTGTTTAACATTGGAATTGTTTCTTTTTCCCTACTATCATAAACATCAAAGCTATGAATATCTTTATCTTTTCCCCATTTGAATTATTTTATTGTAATGTTTTCCCTAAAGTGAGATTTGTTGGCTGGAAAATATATACAATTTTATGGTTCCTGAGACTTTTTTTCTTCAAATCACTCTCCCAAAAGACTTATCAGTGTGTACTTTCTCCAATACTGTGTGTGTGTATGCATTGTTTTCCCATAACCTTGCCAGTTCTGGGTTTGATCATTTGTATTTATTTTCACTAATTAATTGTTGTGTGACATATTATATCCTAGATATTATCCTTGCATTTGCTAATTACAAGTGAGAAAAGTCCTTCCCTTAGTTTAGAAAAACATTTTTCAACACCCCCATTTACCAGCATTTGGGGTACCCAGAGCTGCCCCCAGGCTGCAATTCAGTTAGCCAGGCCCAAGTTTGGCCTCCTGACCACCCTTGTCATAACTAATAGTCCGAGAAGCCTCCTCCAGCAATAAAGTCATTTATCTCCTCCCAACAAACTGAAATCACATCAGATAGTCCCCCTCACATGTGGTTTAGATAAATCCTGGCATTTCTTAATTACCATATGTAGATTATTAAAGATTGAGAGACATTCTGGTTTATAGGCAAAAACTTTGCAGGAGACACGGCTGATGTTCTGTTCTTGGCTTATTAAAACCTCAGGAAGACCCCTGTCCACTCCCATGGAGAACTTATAAAAGAGCATCCTTGTGGAGCCATATCCTGGCCTGGCCGGTGACCCCGAGAAGGCTTGGTGGGCCTGCTGGGAGGGAAGGAGACAGGATGCACCCACTTGCCCACTAGGTGGCACCTCTCAATAACTAATGGGGAGCCGACACTTTCAAACCCTGAGCCTGTCTGCCCAGCCTCCCACATCGCAACCACTTCCATCGTTTACTTCCAAGCCAGACATCTCAAAAAACAGAAAAATTGAAAAGTCCATTCTAGCTAAAAATACACCATCTGCTTGTGAAATATCTTGCTTGGCACTGCCACATTGATACCCAAAGCAAGTTAGTAACCAGCCCAGAGCAGATGGTTTATTTTCATAATTACTGGGTCCCCCACCAAGGCTTCCTCTCCAGCTGCCACCTTACCCTGCTGGCAGCCCCTTGCCATTTTCTAGCCACCCCACCATTACCACCCAGCCAGCCATCATGGGCTAGCCACAGGTAGGGCCAGGCTGCAGCAGCCCCCTGCTTAGGTCATGGCCTCTTTAGCCTGTGCTGGGCCTCAGCCACAGGGGCCTGGGAGCTCTCTGCACCACCTGGGCAGGTGTCTGCCAGGAGGTGATTCAGGCCTTGTCAATCCCATTCTCAATCCAAAGGAAAACAAATCAAACCAGGATGTCACTTATCACCCATAAAATTAATAAAGATTTAAAACACTATCATTCTATTTTTTGGTGAGGATGCAGTGATATGTTCACCCCCAAAAACCTTGTTTTTGGGAAAACAAATTATGGATACTGCCTATCTAAAAAGAATTTTGACCAAATATAACAATAGCCTTAAAAAAATATTGTATGCTTTAGTCCAGCAATTTCACTTTAGGGAATCATTCATAAAGAGTATCTGTCATAATCCAAAATATGAACAGAAGTGTTCACTGCCGCATTATAATGGTAAACACCTACAAAGGAAACCACATCAGGGGCAGGCTTAAGCACAATGGAATGTTATAGAGCTACTACACATGTTTACAAGAAATTTTAAATTACATTGCACATGTTAATGTCAGTTGGTAAAAATATTCAGAGGCCTAAACATTAAGATGCAAGTTCATTAGAAATGCACATTACATGGTTTGCATGATACATGCCAAATTTGTTAACAGCGGTTTTCTGACTAGTGAAGTTTGTAGTGGTGTTTATTTCATCTTTTTTCTGTTTTTTTCTAAGTTTTCAGCAACAAACACTGACAAAAGGAAATGAGTATATTTTCAAATACTATTTGAAAACAGAGTTAAAGCAATGAACAAGAAATTGGTACAGAGGCAGCCTCTAGGGAGGGGCTAGGACAGGGGTCAGCATAGGAGCTTTCCTTCTCCATTTGTGCCTTCTGGTATCTTTTCAGTTTTATACCAGACTGGTATGTCCTAATCAAAAATAAATAAATAAATATTTTTACAAAAAAGATACAAATACTAAACACATAGAAGCTGAGAAAAATCTGAGGGAAAAGCAAGGAAGTTGCATTCAGCTCCTGGGAGAGACTGGACTCTTGGACCCAAAGCCCACTGCAAATCACCCCAGACTCGTCTCATCAAGGGTGACTTAGCTCAGCAAGTCTGCTCCATCTGACACACAACTGGTCAAGAGTCAGGCCATCACCTCCCCAGGACGTTTTTCCCAGGAGTAAAGGCAGGTGGTAGCGGGGCAGGGAAGGGCTCCAGGGTACAATGGTGGCAACCTCTGAGCTGGGACCACCTGTGTCCCCTGGGGTGGGGCTTCCCCAATTCCCGTCACCTTCTGAGTTAGGAGAATCATCTGAATGGACCCTCACCCTGTCCCCAACTCAAGCAGCACATAATGAACCCAATGGCTTCAACTATAGGAGTGGGGCCTGTCAGGGACCTGACTTGTCTTGGATGAACCAGCAGAAGAGCAATTTTTCTGAGACATAATGGCTTAACCTTCCTTTATCACCCGGGTTTCTAGTTCACCCTGAAGTTTTCTTTACACACATGGAGGTACCAGGATACTGGCTCTCAGCAGCAGGAGGACCTCCCTCTGTACTCCCAGGGAGGCCTATGTTGCCTCTGTTCATGCAAAGAGCCTCAAGTCTCCACCCTGCCCCAGGGCCTGGGACCTGAGGGACATTCTGTGGCTGTTAGCGAAAGCTCAGGGTGGTGTGTGCACACTGGCAGGACAGGGAGGCCAAACTGGCCTGGAAAGTCAGGTCTCAGGCCCTGGAATCAGGCGCCTTCTCTCATTCTTTAAAAGCCACAAATCCAGTATCTTCTCCCTTGTGTTCCGTGGCTATGACTCCAAATGATGGGTAGACATGTTTTACACAAAAATGTGGAAAAAGGACTGTCGAGAAAAAAACTGTTGCAATTTGATGACAGTCAAGTTGTGGCTCTGAAAGCAAAATGAACATAGTATTAGGGGAAATTCAGGGTGAACACATTTCTTAGAAATAGTTTATGACCCTACCATTCCAGAAAGAGCAATACTTTTTAGTGAAAGAATTTAATTTAAAAAGCAGAACTCAAGAGCTACCATGACTTTTCAGATGGAAGTAAGTCCTGGGAGAGCAAGAGCCTGGTGGCAGCTAGGGGGAGAAGGGGCTGGGTAACTGACATTTGTGGCTTCCCTCAACAGACTGAGTGCCCCCTCCATGAGGCCACTCAGAAGCCATTGGGCAGGGGTGCATTCAAGAGCTAACTTGGTTCCAGCATGGGCCAGCTCCAAGGTCCTGAGACCCAAGCCTAGAAGAGGGTGAAGGTGTTGTCTTGAGAAGACGAGAAGGCTGAACATGCCGACCTTCCTCCACACCCCCACGGGAGTGAGAGCAGACTCAGACATCCAGATGTCTGCCACAGGCATGCCTTTGCTTCTCGCCAGCTTCCCAAAGGGAGGTCAGCATACACGCACTACCACAAAATGCAACGCCTTCATAAGTACTTTCCAGAATGTGGCACAGCACAGCAGGAGCCTCTCCAGCGGACTTCGCTCCGGTTTAGGTAATAGGCTGAGGATGTGTGGCCCCTCCCAACTCTCTGCTCACCTTCCCCCAGTAGGGAGAATCATCTACATGAGACCACCACCTCCTGGAGGAGCAGCCTAGTCATCATACTGAACTTCTGCCTGGAGCTCCTTGGTGACGTATCCCACCAGCATGGCCAGCAGCTGTTGCTGCAAAGCCTCACTGCCCATGACCAGTGTGGTCAGCTGCACAGCATCTGTCCATTCCAGGTGCCTGATGATGGCAGTGGCTTCATTAAAGAGCTTCTGTTGCTCAGCAGGAGGCAGCTCCATTAGGATCTGAGGAATTGGCTTAAACTGTCCACTCGTCATCCATGCACCTAATAGACCCCCAACGGCACCCCCTACAAAACAAGGAAGGGTTCAATTAGTTGGCCCTTATTCATAAATGATGGCCTTAGGTTCTCACTGAGAGCACATCCACCATCATAATAAGTGAGCACATTCATGAGTGGGTCACAATGGCTCAATCTCATGCTTGCTCCATCAGGCAGCGTGGAGGGCAAAGGTTTATGCGGTCTTCGGTCCATTTGGCTTAGATAATTGACACCCAAACATGCCCTTCTTTAAGCTCTGCCCTCATGGATGCAACATGAAGCATCTCCCACCTCAGAGCTGTGATAACTAAAACCCTCTTTATGGGCTGAAGGTTTTTATGCTTCCATAAAAATGTCTTTCGTCACAAAGGAGAGGGCTAAGAAATAAACACATTTTCAAGAAGAACCATGTCAGTGGTAAAGGCTGTTTTTTCCACTGAGTGGCTAATATGGCCTTTGCCCCTGAACTTTGGAAATTTCCAATGAAATAATGTGGTTAAAGGACCCTTGGGACAGATTAGGGAAACTTTTCTCTTGAAGCAATGTTTTTCATATAATCCCTCCAAAGTTGCATGACAATAAATAACAAATTTTATATATTCAACTGTTTCTTTTTCTGCTACCCCAAAAGGACACAAACATTCTTTTTACTTGTAAATTATTATCAAAACAAAGGCACCCTATGTTGGAACTTGAAGACCCTGTATCCACACCAAATTCCACCTAAATAGGCTGGGTTCAGGTCTACTGCAGGAAGTTGCCCAAGGGCAGGGGTCTCAAACTAAAGTACTTTCAGAGGCCAGGCAGGCAACTGGAAGGACTAGTTAGCTGAGTGGGCCTATGGTGAGCTGGGTCCCTGTCTAAAGGTGCAGTGGCTACCATATGCAAGCCGATTGCTGTCACATGGAATAGTAGATTTGTATCTTCTTAAAAATCCTGTGACTTTTAAATATTGGCAATCAGATATTTAAAAGATGCGGCCTAACTGGGACTTAGTGACTTTTTTCCAAAGAATAGAGTATGGTAAGGGGAAATAGTACCTTTGCAGTGGAGGAACCTGGCAGACAGGACCTTGACAGGTGATCAGGGTGAACATCACAAGGGAGGGCCTGTGAATGTCACATCCCTAAAATTGTGCTATGAGAAAAGCATTTCACCTGTGTGGTATTCTTTCCTAATCTAATCATGGGAAAGATTTCAGCTAATCTACATTGAGAAGTGCTCTACAGAATACTTCACTGGGACTCCTCAAAACTGTCAAGGTCGTGAAAAACGCAAAAAGCCTGAGAAACTGTCACAGGCCAGGGAAGACTAATGGGACGTGGTGGCACCTTGAGCTGGATCCTGGGATAGAGAAAGATCATCAATGCAAAAACTGGTAAAATACAAATAAAGTCTTGAGAATAGTTACTAGTAATGTGTGAGCATTGGCTTCTTAGTTTTGACACAGGTACCGTGGTAATATGTTAATGCAGGGAAAGCAAAACTGGATGAGGGATTTATGGGAATTCTCTTCACAACTTCTCTGTAAATCTAAATCTAATATTATTCCAAAATAAAAAGATTATATGTAAAAGAATACAGCCCAGGCTAGAGACAACCCATTTGTAGGCTGGACTCAGCCAACAGACAGTAAAACCTGTGTCTCTCAGGATGACCAGTGTGGAGGCACATGGGAGCACAATCTCCTCTGGTACTGAGTCCAGGCCAGCCTCACATCCTGGAGGCTGAACACAGGCCTCGACAGGCTTCCCCTCCACTTGGAAAGAAAGGAGCATTCTGGGGAGGGAAAACTGGTGATTTACAAGTACTACTGCACTCTTCCCCAAGACACCAGTGAAATGCTTAGAGCTGACAAGAGTTGCACTCATCTCCACTAAACCTTTATGAGAACATCAATATTTGATTGAAAACAGCACTTAATGCAAAAAGTCTCCAGGAGAATCGACCAGCAAATTACTAACACTTTGTAGAAGAGAAAATTCCTTTGTTTTCTGGGTAGAATGATGCTCCTGCCCATGACCAGGGGCTGTAAGTAGCGAATCCCTAGGGTTTCCTAAAAGACATCCCAGTTTTCACGCATAATCTGAATAAAAAACATACTCCAAAAATGGCATCTGGGCAGACAGCTATGTGATAAATGATCCCAGCAAGCCCTCCCTGAATACATTAGATGGGGTTGGACAAAAATAAAAACTGTCACTGATGAAGAAAGGCAATGGCCTTATGTTCTCCCAACCTGGCTACTTCCTGGATGGCAAACAGCTGAAGTTAGGACTTCCTAATTCAGAGTTTGTTAAGGAAATGTACAGATTGAAGGTCTGGGGCCACTTACATGCTGAGTTTTCTCTCCAGTGTGGCCTCACTTGATGGAATGTCTTTGAATGCCAATCCTGCTACCAAAGGGAACAACAGAGGAGGTAGCCCTGCCAGTGAGCTGGATAACAGAACTCAACTTCATCTCTCCAGCCTGTATTGCCTGTATTCACATGAGGACTATGAGCCACACAGAAAGGATTTCCACCAGACTGAGTGCCTGAGGCCTCTGTGTCCCCAGCACAGGCTACCTGACACAGAACAGGCACTCAGTATATGTTTGCTGAGCCCAGTGTGGCAGATCATGCCTTTAGTGGATGCCCTGAGCTGTAGGGTCCATGTGAGACACCTCAAGGGAGGCCTTATCTGGCCCCTCTTCAGGTCAGGCCTGAATGGCAGCCAGCTCTCTGGCACCACACTGACCCATGGTTCTTCCTGCTTCTATCCAAAGGAATTCTTCCTGCTCCTAATCCAAAGGATGCAACCTCATCCTAGGTCTAAGGAATGGTGGGAAAATCAGTTTCATTCATTGCCAGAAACTGGTTCCCAAAGAGAATCAGGTGGTAAAACCAAGGTGTAGGGATGACCACTCTAGAAGTTAGATTGTTGCTTTTTCTGCACTGGACTATTTGCTTCCCAAATGGGGAAGCTCTTTATAAGCTTACGTAAAATGGCCAGACAGCATCCTTTCCAAAGAAGTGCCTGACAAATCTCAGCTTTCTCCTTGGTTCCATTTTGCGGTGACATGTAATGGTGACGGGAGGAGTAAGACCATCTGAGGGACCCAGGATACCCTGGTATCTTCAGACTCTTGGACACTCCCCTGGGAGGAAAACTGTCCTCCTGGTTTTAATGACACAAATGTCATTTTCAAGAGCACCCTGCACTTCTGAGACATTCACAAAGAAGCTTATATTTTTAGTAGGACAAATTATGTACACAAAGATCATTTCACAGATGCAACCTTAACTCAACAATCTTCTCACACAGGACAGACACTTCTATGAGGTCTCTATGTTTCAAAAGCCTTTTTACAATACGTACAAGCTGGCTGTCACTTGCAGGGCACTGGCACTTACCAACAGCTAGTCCTGGTGGGCCACCAACCAAACCGCCAACAAACGCCACAGCTCCCGTGAGCAGGGCGCCCCTCCCAGAGTGCTTGACGGCAGCCTTCATTTTCCTCTCCCCGGAAATGGAGCAGAGCAGTTTCATAATGTCTTCCACCATAATGGGCATTTTGGCAGGCCTCAAAAGAAACATTTCAGAGGGAGGATTTTAATGAGGTCAGGAGTATTTCCACCCAAATGTTACTCTTCCTCATTATCAGTAGAGAATAGTAGCTCTGAGACATGCATGAGAGACAGTCATGTGCCAAGTTCTTTGTCACAAAGAAAGCAAGGCAGCATTTGGTGAACAAGCAAACAGAATCAGCAGAGTGGATGAAAGGTCTTTGCCCTCTGATTACCTTCTGATTTATGACAGATTAAGGAGCAATCCCAGCCACATGCTCCACCAGTTCATCACAGTGAGGCAAGTCTGACCTCTCTTGCATGAGTGGCCTTTCCACTGGCTCAGGCAATTCTTGAAGCACAAAGCTTGGTAGAGTGCGGACAGTCCCAGCCTGGTATCTCCTCTTGAGTGACAGGTCATCTGAGCTCACGCCGAATCAGGGAAGGGGAAAGTACGGGACTCTGCAGCCACACTGGCCTTGTGACCTCACTTGCCAACCATGTGAGCAGTGTCAGATTCCTTGGCTGTAAAATGGAGAGAACCACCCACAGGCTAGATTCTTGTAAAGTGTAAACAGAATGGATGCAAAGTGCCTGGTGGAAGTCTGGAACACTGCACACTCTCCGACATGATGGCTCTACATGAACATTCTGTTACTAATACATACCACTGGCTTCTATAAGCAACCACTCTTAAAGTCAATCCAATTCTACATGTGGGATGTTAAAGGCAGGGACAGGATGTCACATTAAACAACTAGAGAATAAAGGAAATCAAAGAATCCCAGGGGTTTGCATATATATGGATAGACAGAGGGAAAGATGGACCTTTGGACTACTCACCTTTAGAACTTCTTTGGGGTCAGGAGAGGCAGACCTGCATTTTACCACACTGTGGGGAAAATAGGAGGCAGAGACAAAGGCAGGCTCTGCCCCAGGGTCAGTAGGAGTGGAGAGCCCCAACACTAATGGGCTACCTGGCAGGGCTGGGAAGTCAAGTCAAAGTGGCAAAGAGCCACTTCTTCCAGCTTCAGCCAGACCCTGGCTCAGCGGGCACTTTCGAATATTCCCCTTTTCATTCAACATGTTGACACATGCCAACAGTTGCTAAAGGAACTTGACTAAGGTGGTTTAGGGCAGACCCTACTGCTCACTATCTTTTGGTTATATAAGCTTTCTTTTGACCCAAGGATAATGTAAAATTATCCTCCTGATCCTGAGAGAGAACTTTGAGCCTTTAGAACGATTCTTCAATTCTACCATACCACAAGTCAGGTTTTCAGAATTTCTGTGTCCCAGGAGAGGAAAGAAGTACCTGTGTCTGGCCTCTGTAAATTTCCCCTTTTCCCTTTTGCTATTCCTGAGATCAGTGATTCTCCACAAATGCACAGGAGTACTGAAGATCTTGTTAAATACAGCCAGTATGGCTGGGCTGAGACTGCACCCAGGTGGTTTCTTACCTCATTCTGGGCAGCAATATTCTAGGGGAGCATGACCCAAGACGTTACTCAGTCCCTGAGTTCAGAAACTGGACACAGGTGTCCCCCAGATGTGCCTGTTGTGAGGTAGGGCAGGGACATGGGACAAGCACATGATTAACTTTTCCTGCCTATGATTAAAAATGCCAAGATATAAACAGTATAGTAAGAAAAGGAGGGACTCCATTTTAAGGCTAAGATTCCATTTTAAAAACCAAGGAGTTAGGAGGTAAGATTCCTAACATATTCTTCGGTAATCAGCCAACAATCTTTCTTAGGCAGGGCAAGCAGTTTTAAGCGATACGTTCCCAGTTTTGCTTGAGGGTAATCAGACCTTGGAGAAGAACTGAATCAATAAATTCCTTGTGCTAAGTTTATCTTACAGAGTATCTAGAGGACTGTGGATGGTGACCAGAGAGAGACATCATGGGACCAAGTCCAGCCTACATTCACCCCCACCTCCGTCCTTTGCCCCATTCTTGGAAGCTTTCAAAGACAGAATCCTAAGTCCTTAAGTGGGCCTCCTGCGGTTGCCTGCACTCCCCTTTAAGTGTGTACTTTTTGCCTTATATAAAGACTTCTCACAGCTCAACTTAACTGCGTTTTGTCTCTGCACTCTTCCAGTGGTAAGCATCTTTGTTACTTCACTAATTCATTCTATTTTCTAGACTTAAGCACAAGTCTTCACTTTCTCTGCCCTATTTCCGACAAGTACAGAGGGCTGCTGAGATCTCTGGTTTGGGCTTGCAAGTTCCCATCGCCTAGGTGACCTGGGCAGAACTGTGGCTGTACGATCATGCTCTTTAGCAGGCTGCCCAAAAATCTCCTCTTTGCAAAGTTCTCAGAACATAATCTCGCTCCATCCAGTGCACTGCGACTCCCCCAAATCCTGGGATGGTAGAGGCTTAGTTCCCACACCATGCCAATTCAAGTGGACACTGGACGCCAGGTGACCCTGGCTTTAGGAGTTAGCAAGAAATTTGCCCTGCATGAAGCATGAGTTCAATGAGTCTCCCTTTCCACCCTCTGCTCTTCCTTGCTTTCTGCTGTCTGCATGGCTGCTGCCATTCACTACTACTCTCACTTTAATGAATTCCTTTCTTATGAGTGTATCATCTGACCTGTTCAAGAATTCTTTGTTCAGAGTCAAGAACCTTCCCCTGTCCAGGCTGAGGTTTCACCTCATGCACAGGGAGAAAGCTCCCCAGATGCAGTTGCCTGACAACAGTTTGACCAAGTGGGGTGAGACAGGCAGCAGAGGTACATGCAGGTACTGCAGGGTTGCCTAAGGGACTGGGAGAGAATTCAGGTGTGCCTATCCCTGCTCTGGCTCCCATGTGTCCTATATTGCCAAAATGCTGCCTGGCTTCCAGGCCCCTCTGCTCACCACCTGCAACCACTTGCAAAGACAGTGTATGCTTCTTTCTCCTCCTAGGAAGAGAGCCCACTTGAGGTTCAAGACCTGTCCACACATGAACATCAAGATAATGAAATAGCATTATATGAGTAAAGAAACTGCACATGGCAGAAGCCACTCAAAAATGGGATGATGGATAACATAACTTATTTTACCCAATAGCCTATGAAACTATGTAGACAAACAAAATGAGTTTTATTTCAAATACTAATTTATTTCAAATATTAAGATAACCAAAGGAACTAATCTCAGGGTAAAACCTTTCAAAAAGTTAAAAATCCTTCTGTAAAATATTTAATCACCTTCTAGCATAGTTCTGGTTTATATCCAGTTTTTCATCTGTCAATTATGCTAGAAAAAGGGAAATGAAGCTCAGGTCCCCTCCCAGGAAGACCCCTCGGGAGGCTGCAATGAGCCTCCCATTCCCAGGAACATGAAGACCTTCAGCCTGCAAAGCTTGGTCTGCAAGGCTGGCTTCCAGACCAGTGCACACAGCCCAGGTGCCACTCCTAAAACAGGTTTTCTGCAGAATTATGGATCTGTACTCTTGAAATGGTTCCTGCACAGCAAGAAAATGCATGTAAAAGAGGCAGGAAACAGCCACTTTATCCTTTATTGTCTATCAAAAAACCCAGCTTCCGACCTGCTCTGACTTTAAGTTGAAACCCACAGAGGCTAATAAGGCGTCATTGTGCAAATACTACTTCCAACCTCCATTTAACCCAATCAGGCCAGCACAAGGCACAAGCCCAGGGCTCTGCAGAACTGGAGGACCAGCAGGTGCCGGGGTGTGTGGGAGGGCAGGGGGAGAAGTGGCCCAACTCCTGCTGGGTTCAATAGTTCCACCCCACAGGTAGGGGTGGCATTGTGGCTGTCCTGAACCAAGGGAAAGCTGGTTTAATTTCCTTGCAACAACCATTTTCGAAGTTAGAGCATCAGTAGGCTCTAGTTGTGAAAGAAAACTTTGTGACCCCATCTCCTGAGTCCTTGCTGGAAAACTCAGCCTCCTGACTTCTCTAGGCTGGCCAGATTGAGGAAGGGAGCCAGGATTGCTTCCCCTTCTCCTGCTCCAATCTTGCCTTTGTCAGTAAGTGACAGGGAAGTGAGGGAGGGGGGAGGAGGCAGTGGAGTACTCTGATGGGTATAGAACTCAAGAGAAGTGGAAGTGGGGCCTCCCTCCCCAGTACCACACCAATTTCACAATCAGATTTGTCTACAAAACAGGCTCTGGTCACAGAAAGCCCATCTGCCAGCCAGCCACAGGGAAGGCAAATGCCAACTTGAAGCCCTGGTTTCTTACAAGCACCCAGGTTCATCCCGATTACAGGAGGGTTCTCGGGAAGAGGGAGGAGAGCCCTTCTCTGGGCTGCAACCTGGCTTCTTGAGATGGACCAGATTGTGAGAGAGGAGGGAGAGGAAAGGAAGGCTTTAGAACTAACACAGACCTCCTTGCACCCTGTTCTTCAAAAAAAACTAGAGAAGTGGAGCTTCTTAGAAATCCTGGTATCTATTCTCAATAGTTTCTACTTCTTTGGTGGAATTTTAAAAGTCCACCGTGTGCACTGATTCTTGTAAATCTTGTCTTCCCACCTGTCTATGCCCCAGTGCAAAGGTTGCAGGTGGATCATACCAACATTATCGGATGAGTCCACAGACATTTAAAAAATTAAATTGGTTGCCGGTACTTAAAAATCAGAGATTTCACATATACCTGACTCCTAATTTCTCCTGAAAAGTCGGAAGAGCAAGCCACAATGGATCTGCCTTCTTGCAGCAACTGAGGCCAGAGCTGCCCTTTCTCTGCCATAAGCCCTGGCAGAATGCACATCACCTACCTACCTGGCCCATAACAGGTCACTTTCCAACCTCTCAAAGTATCTATATTTATTTTTTAAAAGGCTAAAGAAACTACCAGTCCTCACCAAAACTAACTCATTACCCTCCCTTCCTGATCATCTCTAAAGTGGTGCCCAGATCCTCTTCCCACAGGGAAAAGCCAGAAGTGCTGACCCGCACAACAGGTATCTTGCTAGGACTCTGCCTTGCATATGTTAACCGCCACACACATATACACACACACTGGGGTAACGGGTTACTTGGAGAAGTCACACACATGCATCCGGTTACTGCAGGTCTCACACACACACACGCAGGTTATGCGGGAAGTCACACACGCACACACATGCACCCAGGTTACTAGGCAGGTAACACATGGGCAGCCGGGTCACTGAGACAGGTCACACGCACACACACGCACCCGCATTACTGCAGAGGCGCACGGCTGGGTGCGGCGGCCCTGGAGTCTGCCGCCCGGGGCTAACCCAGTTCCGCTGCTCCGACTTCTGGCCTGGCTGCAGCCCCTCCGTGCCTAGCCGTCTCCTACGGAAAGTGACCGCAGTAATAGCGCCCACCCCCTGCGCGACGAGATCCCAGCTAGCCGACACCCAGCGGCTCGCGGGCTTCCGCCCCTGGGCGTCCCCTCCCCCGGCTCGCGTGGCGTCGGCGAGGAGAGGCGCTTTACCTGGGGAGCGGCCGGGTCGCCGAGGTCAAAGGCCGGCCGGCGCGTGGGGACCGTGGTCGCCCGCCTGCCCCGCCCCGGCGCGTAAGCCCCGCCCTCCTTCCGGCCCGGCGGCGCGCGGCCTTCCGGGTCGCGGCGAGCCCGCGGCGGCGCGCAGAGCGGGAGCCCGAGTCGGGAAGGTTCCGCGGGAGGGCCCTGAGGGCGCCGCCGAGGGTCCCTCCTCCCCCCGCCCGGCTCCGGGGTGGGCCGCCTGGTCTGGAGTCCCTGTGACCCTAAGGCGTACTCATGCCCACCCCCTGCCTTTAACCCCCCGCTCCCCCCTGGTTTCGACGCGGGTACCCTTGGACCTCCCTCAAGTAAGAGCCCCCGGGGAGACCTTCTCTCCCTTTGGCCATAGGTCAGGATCTCAGACCCTCAGACCTAAAGACCCTCCCGCCGCCAGTCCGCACAGGAGAGAGCACGGCAGCCTGGGGAAGTCACAGGCGCTAAGTTCATACCTGGTGGATGGTTGGGCCTGAGTCGTAAGCGGACCCCGCCCGCCTCATGCCAACCGGCACCAGGGGCCTCTGGGTCTCCGGTTTGAAAACACAAAGCGCTGGCTTTATTCCTCAGGTTCCAGGGTAGAGGGAGCTCCAGTTTCCTGAGCAAAGCTGAAGTTGAGGAACCTCCTGGGAGGGTGTAAAGGGCATGAGCGAGTGGGATAACCGGGACTAGGGAATACTTGAGAGATGTAGGGAGACCGCCCCACCCTCCACCCCCACTAGCCATCCACAAGCTGGCCTTGAACCATCTCAAATCTGAAAAATGGCTTCCGGGGGCTTCCCTGAGACTAACCCACTTAATCCTGACCAGCAGTCCTGCTACGCAGGCATGGTCGTCATGGCCGTGGTACAGATAGGAGAACCCACGCAGAGATGGTCGCCCAGGGCCACCCAGGTGGGGAGTGTCAGGCCAGACTTCATTCGGAATCTGCGGCTCAAAGCCCTTCTGTAGGCAGCACTCTGCCTGGCTTTCCAGGTGCTGTGGGCCACCCACAGGATGGGCCTCTTCACACTGCCAGTCATTTTGTTTCTTCTTTTTCTTTTGAATTGTAAAGTATTTGGGGAGTGTGTGTATGTATATATATATGGTGCCCCCTCACACCAGCACCCTGATCCCCCATTTCTAGGGTGAGCAAGCCAGTTCCTCACTTATATGGCTCTTTCAGGATGAATCCACCCAGACCCAGGGGTAGATGGTCTCACACATAGGTCACACACATGTAAACCCACAAGCTCTTAAGAGCACACAAGTAAACTTGCCATTTTCAAAACTAAATATATACATATATATGTATGTATGTGTGTGTGTATGATACCTTGTTTTTTTTCTTCAAAGATACATATATAGAGAGAGGTATATGCCAAAAAGTTGTGCATACTTAAGGCATTTAACTCGATGGATTTGGGGATAAGTACATACCTGTGAGACCATCATGCCATAACCATGCCCATCACCACAATAAGTTTCCTCCCACCCATTTTATTATTGTCATTTGTGTGTGTCTGTTAGGAATGTAACATATGGTTTCCCTGCCTAGTATACAATACAGTGTTGCTAACTATGGGCTGTGTATAAGTACAGCACCTGAACTTACTACCTTTGATAAGTGAAATTTGATTCTCTCTCATCATTTTGTTACTTCTGTTTCCTTTCTGCCCCTGTTGTGAGAAAGAGCCTAAACCCAAAGTGTTTCCCAGGCTGCCGTGAAATAACCCCATCCTTTCCAGAACAGGGGTTTTTGATTGAGTTCTGGTGACTTGCAAGCGTGAAAGTTAAACTGAGGCTAGGAATAGCCCAACTTTGCTGTTGTCCCCAGGCTCTGACCTGGGTGAGATTCTCTGCTTTCTCTGCGGGCAGCTCCCTCTGGCGGCACATTGAAGAACTGGGCCTCCCGACTCCTTCCCCAGAGGTGACACACAGTATCCTGGGAGGAGGGAAGTGCTGGAAGGGAAAGGAGCTTCAACAGTGGGGGCCCTCTGATGGTGAGCTGTAAGTCAGGCAAGCCTTCATCCATCAATCAGCAGCCTGGGGACCTTCATTTTGATAGGATTGAAGTCATAAAATGATTGGGAGCATTGAAGCCCATAAATGGAACATATACCACCACATTCTCATAATGGTAGCTGGGCATCCTGCAAAGTGGGTTCTGTGAACAAGGTGCGCAGTGGGATCTCTGTCCTGGTGTGGGGACAGTGCACTGGCCCATAATACAACTAGCACTTTCATCTGGCTGGGTGACCTTGGGAAAGTCATTCAACTTCTCTGTGCTTCAGTTTCCTTATTTGGGAAGTGACAATAATAATAGTACCTGTCTCATAGGATTGTCCTGAAGATTGAAGGAGGTAATGTGTAGGAATCTAGTTATTCTTGTTTGCATAGTAGGGTATGAAAATGAACAGCATCTCCCAAGTCCCACATGTGAGCCTCGTGTGCCCAGAGGGACAGAACATCCAATCCCACCCCAGCCTTCACAATGCACCCTCTTGATGGGCCCAAAAATCCCCTCGGGTGCCAGGTTGTGTTCACAGAGCCAGCTGGAGCCAGAACTCAGATGGTGCCCCCTGACACCAGCACCCTGATCCCCCATTTCTAGGGTGAGCGAGCCAGTTCCTCACTTATATGGCTCTTTCAGGATAAATCCACCCAGACCCAGGGGTAGATGGTCCCACACATAGGTCACACACACGTAACCCTGCAACCTCTTAATAAGAGCATACAAATAAACTTGTTGTCATTTTCAAAACTAAAATTTTATGGTCATGTTCTTTTTGTTTTGAGTTACCTCAGAAGTCACTGTTTTCTGTTTGGTGCTTAGGGACTCCCAGGGATCTTGATCCAGCCTCTTAGCCAGTCATATGCCCCAAGGCACCCACAGAACCAGGGTTTTGGGTCAAGAGATGCTCCATCCCCACGTGTTGGGCCCAGGATACTCCTCTTAAAGACTTTTGTGTCCTTAGCCCTGGAAGCTAAGTGGGGGAGGTCTCCCCTGCCCCCAATCCTTCCGCCAGAATCCATGTTATTTTTTCATACATGAAGTGTTCAGCACAGTGTTGGACACATACCCAGTGGATTAGTTTGCTAGGGTTCCACGACAAAGGATCACAAATTGGGTGGATTAAAATAGAAATGTATTGTCTCACAGTTTTAGAAACTGGTCCAAAGTGTTGGCAGGGCCATTTTCCCTCTGAAATCTTTAGGGGAGAATCCCTCCTTTCCTCCTCCTAGCTTCTGCGGGTGGCTGTAAATCCCTGGCATTCCTTGGCTTGCAGCTGTATCACCACCTCTGTCATCATGTGGCTTTCTCTCAGTGTGTCTGAGTGTCCTAATTTCCCTCTTCTTATAAGGACACCAGTCATATTGGATTAAAGGGCCACCCTTATGACCTCAGCTTGATTAAATCTGCAAAGACTGTATTTTCAAATAAGGTCACAATGACAAGGACCAGGGGTTAGGTCTTTTACATCTTTTTGTGCAACACAATTCAACCCGAAACACCAAGTATTCAACAAGTGCCAGCTCTGATGAGTATTACCTGAGCATGCATATAGCATGTGCTTGCCCAGTAAAAACAATAGCCTCAGCTCATGCCTTGTGTCAAAATTGTGTGCAGGGGGACCATCCAGCTGCCTGTCTTTGGCCTTGGGAAAGCTTAATTCTGAAAGGGTTGTTAAGGGATAAGGTGGCTTTGGGACTAGTAATGAGCTCATCCCAGGCTTCATCATTGTTCTTTTAAATAATTTATTCATCTTCTTCCATGGTGTTTACATCCTTCAAATATTTGTAGATGGTTATCATGTCCCTTTAGTCATCACTTAGCACCACTCTACATATTTGCCATGGTGCTGAGCAAGTGGTCTCCTCCTCCTCACTCTTATTATTATTATTATTTCCCCCTGACCCACTTCCTTAGTCCCTCAGCCACCATCATCACTGCTTGAATTTCCTCCAGGTTCCCAGCCTTTCAAGTGCCAAGTTACCGGGGATGGAACATTAGAAGTCAATACTGGGGATGAGGGATGTCTCACAGGCCCTCTGGCTCCCTACTCCTCTGTATTTTTGTTTCCCCAAAGCCACAAATAAATAGAAAGCAGTAAAAAACCAGTATGCTTACAATGCAAATCAGTTTCCAGACAAATCCCCCTGCCCCTATTTCCATGTAGATAATCCTCTACTTCTCTCAACATCCTAGGATCGCTGTAAGGACCAAATGAAGAGTGGAGTGGGAAAGTGGGGACTCCAAAGCAGGGAGTGGTGGCAGCCACAATGCCATCAACATACGACTGGATGTGTGCAGCACTGTCCAGGGGTCAGCTATTCTAAAAAGCTAGAAATTCTAAGTTAGAATATACAAAATGAACTTGATAGAACTGAAATTCACCTTAAGATCTGTTTGCTGAAAGAATATAGAGATGTCCTACTTAAAAATCTATTAGATTTTAGTATTCCAAATAAAGTGTGGAACGTGGAGCTGAACAGGCCCTAGAGACATGTTACAGCTGTCCCTGTGTGGGCTTTGGAAGGAAGTGCTGCTGTAAAAGATAAATCCACCTAGTCTTCCATTTCAGAGCTTGCTGAAGAGTACTTCTGTACCTGGAAGACTTATTTTCAGTCTGGAAAGAATGATTTTCAATGGTTCTGTTTAACATGCAATTCTTATAGTATTTCTATAATTATCCTGTTTCAGTTATAATACAGTTTCTGGAACAATAGGACTTTTATTGTATTGCCATATCTGTTACAAAAGATGTTTTATTACAGAAAATTATGGTAGAGTCACTGTTATGATTCTGAAGTTTTTATTTCAAATTGCTCAGAAGATGGAAATTCTTACTTTTAAGTAGCTTTTACCCTAATGCTGCATTGGTTGCTTTTTAAACATTTTTTAAAGCTTTGGTGCATTTGGGATTTTATTCAATGGCCAAATACTTTCTTCTGCTC